TTTAAAAAATATTGATTTTTTAATTTTTTTTAATTTCTATTTTTTTTTTTAATTTTTAAATTTTTATTATATTAATATTATTACTTTCAATATTTAAAATAAGCTTATATTAAGAATACTTGATAAAATAGAATTGTTGCTATTGTTAAGATCTTTTTTTTATTCTTTTTAATGTAATAATAATGAAAAATAAGAGAAATAAAAAAAGAAAAGATAAAGAAAGTAAAGGTAGATAATCTTACAATATTTAAGATATTATTAAAAAATAGTTTAAAAAAGAATAATTGAATAAAAAAAATTTTAGGATAATATATTTATTACTTTTTTAGTCTTTAAATTAAAGTTGTTTGTTAAGTAAACTTAGAGATTTTGCAAATTGTTTAAATGGTAAAAGGTAAAATTTAGTAAAATTATATTAAAATCTTATTAAAAAATCTGCAAAACTCTAAAAAAAGGTAAAATTATATCAAAGCCTATAAAAATGCGAAAATATATTAAAATCTTAATAAAAATTAGTAAAACTAAAGTTTAAATATTTTATCAAATCTAAAATGAATTTAGATAAGTAATCTTATTTTAGATAAATTGAATTAATCATTAAATAGCCATATATAAAATAATCAATTAGTGTATGAATTTACTATATATAAATAGCTTTATTAAGCAAAGACTGAAGAAAATTTTTTGAGTACCATTAATAACTTTATCTTAAGGCATTTAATTGATAAAAAAAATCATAATTGATAATTTGGTCAATCTTTTACTTACTTGATCAATTAAAAATCGATTTATTTGATTGATTACGTATGATCGATTTCTTAATCGATTGCATTATTTGATCAAAGAATAAACTAAAAATCAAATTTTAATTGTTCGATCATTGATTGATTTATTAATATTAATATAAGCATTAAAAATTATAATAAGCTAATTTTTATCAATTATAAATATTATAATAACTATTAAAATTTCTTTAATTTGCCAACATATAATTATACAAAAGGATTATAATATTTACTATTTTATTTTACAAACAATAATTTATTAACAGTCTCTGGTTTTAAACTGATTTGATCTTTGGTAATTTGATTTTCAGCATCACTAAAAAACCGTTCATTTGAAATAGATGTGACTGGTACACTCAAATATTTTCTAGCTATTTTAAATAAAGTTAGAAATTTCTTTTATTATCAATTTACCATTGAAATAGATCCATTTTGGGTATAGCTTGTGGAGTTCTAAAATTATCCAAATAGCAATTGATTTTATCATCTTTTTCATTTATTTTATATGATCCAAATAAACACGATTTAAACCATCCGTTGAATAATTATTTTTTGAATTTATTTGAAGCATAACAGTTTCTTCATTTTTTAATAAATGATATTTAATGAAGATATTGTTATTTCATGCATTTCTTCAGGCCATCCATACATTTTTTTAAATCTTAAATCTAAAAGGTTAGCAAATACAGCAATTTCAGATAGTAAATTAAAATATTCAAATAGCGCATCATATATTACTTTTTGACAGAATTAATAATATTATTAATTTCTGATAAAGACATTTATGTATTATTTGAAAAAATTTGTTCCTCATCATTATTATCATCACTTTCTTTATCATCAAGCATACTTTCATTATCTTCAGAATTCTCATCTATAGTAATATTATCATTATCTAAAAAAAAGAATTTAAATCTTAATAAATATAATTTAATTATTTTTAATTATTTAAATATTATACTTACCACTTTCGTTAATAATATTGTCATCTATATCTGATATATAATCATAATATAATGCATAAATAGATGGATATATTAAAGAAAGTATACAATATTTTTGACCACCTAACCATTCTATTGCTTTTTCAATTGGTTTAAAAAGAATAATTAATTTTTTTAATAAAATCCATTCATAATCTAAAAGAATTTGCGTTCTTAATTTTTCATAATTTTTTTAAATTTATTCTCTAGACATAAATTTAAAAGAACCCGTTTAATAGAATCTTTTAATACTTATAATCTTTTATAAAAAGCTAAAGATGATCTCCATTGGGTCTTGATATCATTAATAGTTTGCAAAATTTTTAATGAATATTGATCAATTGATGTTAAATCAAATAAAATTGAATCATTTTCTAGTTGTATATCATATCTAGATACAATTTCTTTCTGAGCCTCTTCTAACCGTTCATTTTATTTTAGAGAATTAAAAAATTGAATTAATTCCTTAAATTGTTTAGTATATAGTTTAATTTTTTCTAACTCTTTAATAACACAAAGCTGCAATGTATATGCACTATATGGAATATGATTAACACCATTCCATTCATGAATAGCTTTAATCATATTACTACCATTGTCAGTAATTGCTACATTTACTTTACTATCTAATCCAAGCAGTTAAAGTTTAGTTAAAATAGTTTAGCAGATATTATTACTATTATGAGGATAATTAATTAGTGCAACACAAATTAATATATCATATGGGAGTGTTTCTAGGAAAATCAGGTTCCGAGAAATTTTTGACTAAAATTAAGAGCTTAATACACTTTAATCTAATTACATCAAAAACTAAAATGCAATAAAAATCTCAATTTTGCTAAAAAATTCCCGGAACCTGATTTTC